GGCTTAAGGCATGGATTAAAGTTAGGGTTGGGTTAAAGATTACTGTCATGTTTACCCAGTCCACCGCCTTTAACCAGTAACCTTGGATTTACTGCCATCTGCCCGTTTACATACTCCCCACTGACATTTTTTATATTGTGCGCCTGTTCCAACTTCTCATTATGGTATTAAAACAAACGTGTGCAAGAAACGCGAGTATCCAATGCTTTCCGCAGACTCCGTTAATCGCTTCGCTCATCCGCCCTACTGACGAAACTCGTACATACTAGATAACTGCCAAAATATCTTCGTCAGCAGTATACTTATCAATTTCATTATTATCATCGTCAGTGTTATCAAATCAGCACTCCATGTATAAGGCCGCATGTGGATTGATAAGAACGTGTACCGTGGGCCATTCTGACACCCGTTTTGCCCCAGTGTACATGCAGGAAATACGAGACTTAGATGAGGTGTATCGAAGGCTAAAGTGTAGCCTAAGGCTGGAGGAATCAGCTGAATATTAATTTGTATCTAACCACACAGCGGAGATAACCCTCCCTCTGCCGGCATTTCGACTGCGAACCGCCGCGGGTTAGGCTGGCCAAGGCTGGGTCCTCTCGAAGATTTTCATCCTTATCAGGCAACTTTGTGTCACATTTCACAGTTACTACTGTGTCCATTTCCATACGGTTAATCCGCGCTCCCCGGTCGACTTAAGAAATTTTGTATCAAGGGCTCTGAACCGCAACGCTACAAGGCGAGGTAAAACGTCCGTATCTCTCGCCCCATAATCAAATCAGCGACTTTGAATAGTGCTGACACTAAACTATGACTCATTAGTAGAGCATTGAGTTTAACGACCAAGTATACTGAATTGCAAATCCCCGGCTTCTACGGTCAGCTGAAGAGGACTATTGAGCCAGAAATGTCCCTTTTCCAGTTGATTGACGGTAAGACCTCAAACACACGGCAACATTAGGTAAACATCTGCATTTACCGCAACAATAAATAAATTTGAGGCTTTCCCGAAGGACAGCGCCGTCCTTACTATCAAATATAAGTAGTTTTGTCGTCTGATTATGCTGACATAGGGGTACTTAGGCGGTCACCGATCGCTTGCAGAACTCATTCGTCTCGTTATGCCTTGGAGCTCGTCGCTCGCTTTACTCACGTAATGGCGTAGGGCCTGGTAGGCCGCAGTCAAACCGAACTTAGGATTTGGAAAAGAAGACGGCCCCGTGACGAAAACACCGGAAGAGGGAGCAGGATTACTAGCATCCTCTACTTTGGGGACGAAACACAACACTAACTGCCGTCAAGCTATACCAAAATCAACGCGGAGGGCCAAGCAGCGAACGGAGAAAAATCGATCAGCCCATGGCCAACACGTACAGCCACAGTTTTGAATTGCTGATCGATAGAGTCAGTTCACGCTTTGACAAAGGACAGCCGGCCCAGCTGTCCGAAACGTCGACGAACAATTAAACTTATTCCGATATGCACAACATGATATCTGATGCTAATCCCGGAATTCTGACTTTTGCAAACTTGAACAGTGGTTAGAGCGTTGGACT